GTTCCACCATGTTTGAGCCTCCAAGCCCAACTTGATGGTGAAACGGCCTTCACCGAATTTTTTTCGCCTACAAAGCTCCAGTACTGTCAATATCTATATCTGTTGAATTCTCTGTTATTAAAGCCATAGGGATTGGAAGAAACTCTATTCCAATCAAAAATGCTTTGGTCGAACCGAAATATGCGCTTATTTCAGGTCAAAATCTGCGGGAACTTTCTGAACAACCCAATGGTAACTCCTACACGTAAAAGATGCAAACAGCACATGAAGATCTAGAAGCAAAGAGACGACGACTGAGAAATGTTGAAAGCTCGAGAGACCGTTAAGAAGTAATTCTTAGAACTGGTCTGAACATAAAAACGCAAAAAGCGAAAAAAAAAACTAAGTACACCGAACTGAAAAACGGAGATAACAACACAAAAACAAGACAGAGTGTAATACAATATATAAGTAACAGTAACGGCCACACAATTCTGTACTTTAATGTTAGCGGTTCTGCAAAACGACTTACCCTCTTGAAGCTGGGTAATTTTGGCATGTTGATGGTGAAAGGGAAACTGCCAAGCTTTTCAGGAGTGGCATTAAGACTCTGCAATATACATACATTCACAAACTATATCTAAATGTATGAGGAACTTCGACAGCGGAAGGGTTTAAGTCGACTTACTGCTGCTAGAGGGCTACATAGTTGAGATACGTCACTAGGTTTCTCCTGTGTTACGATTTGAGCCTGTGCACGTAACGCCTCTTGAGCCTGAAAAAGTCCCATGAACACGATTCGCAGTTAAGAGGATGAAGCTGCTTGAGATGGGATTGAACTTGCCTCGTTTCGCTTCTGCTCCTCCAATTCGTGACGAATCTCTGCGAGAACTTCTTCGAGTATTTCAAAGCTTACGCTTTCAATTCTCTTGTAGAAGTCTTTTTTGATTACGTCAACAATTTCTTCACCGATAACCTTTTCAGTAGCTTCACGAACAATAGCCACATTTTTCATGAAGCGTCTCTAAATTCAAAAAACGTTATTTACCAAAAGTAGGAAAAAGATGTAAACATGATTAAAGACAGGTCTTTCAAGTTGGTAGGCAAATGCGAAGAGTTCAGTTCACCTTACTCCCATTTACAATGACACCCATGCTTTCATCAATCAACCCTGGCAATTACCCTGGACGATGACAGTGTGTAAACATAAAAAAAGTTCGCTTTCAATTCGGGAACGAAAATAAAGATTGCAGAAATGAATTGCGGCTTCAACAATGATGCCACTTCTTTTTGTTCGTGGCGTTCACCAGGCATGAATTCAAACACAACTGTGCTCAACTTGAAAATGAGTAGAGCGGCTTGAAGTCACCGAAGAGTGCTAAATGACAGTACCTTATCCCTATCAGATGACCTATCCTGCTCGGTTCGATGCCTCTTTCTGCGCTTGAGTCTCAGTTGCATTGGACTCTGTGAAGTTGATGGTCTAGGAGGTGGAGACATTGAAGAACCGACGTCTACATCCATGTCATCCAAGTCATCACAAGCGGCGCTAGTCGATCTAAGAAGGTTCAACGTGAATTTTTGTATAGATAATGTTCATCCCATAAAAGATCTAATGACGTACTCAACAGGCTGAGGTGTAGCAGATTTTCCTTGAGTGCTTTTAGATGAACCCAGAAGTACATCACTGCCAAAAATACTTGCAACTCGATCGGCTAGAGTTTGCTGTGAGGGTGCAGATGACTTAGGTGGACATGGTGGAGAGTCTTCCACAAAGCGCAAAGCCACCTTCGGAAACTCTCGCTAAAAGCAATAAACCTCAGACTTGTAATCGGAATGAGTACTAAAATTGACGCTCACCCTTGGATAGATGTGAGGTTGAGGAGGGGGAAAACCTGGCGGCGGTGGAGGAAGAAGAGGATTGAAAGGAGGAGCACCAACGAGAGGAGGAGCATTCACCTTAAGTAGGAAGAGATTAAGACAACACTACAGAACGACTGATTAGGAGCAAATACCAACATGAGGAATAGGGAACGGAGGAGGAGGTAAATGTGTCGGCAGTAGAGTAACCGGTAGAGCAGGATGAGGGACTGGCACATTGACTGGTGGAGGAGGACCAGGTTGTTGTGGTAAGACTTCAGCTTGAGGCAGTGGTTGGGGGCCAACAAAACTAGGACTCATGAATACACTTGGAGGTGGGGGTGGCGGTACTATCAACGAAGTTGGAGGTTGCGTAGTGGATTCGTGAAGTGATGCCGACGCTGATAACCTCTCCGTCTTCTGAAACACAAGAAAAATCTAATGAGCGCATGGTCCTTTTAGAAGTACAACCAATACGCACCTTCTCTTTCTTATGAAACTGCTCTCCATCGGAATCAGTTGAACTGCTGCTCCAACGATGTACCTCAAACTTTTTGTCCTTTTCTGCACCTTTCCCAGTTGCACTACCCCTGAAAAGTTACGATTTCGTGAAAGACGGCGTCAATGTTTCCACTTTGCTTATTGGAACTCACAAGCTCAACTTACAGCGAACAATAGGAGCTACTCTCCATTTTCTTCCCCTGAAAATTCCCGACTTCCTAAATAAACTTACTTCTTGTTTTTTTCTTCATCTACCTGAGCACCATCAGCGTTTTCGACAGACTCATCACTGCTGATCATTTGCAAACCCGAACTCTGAAAAAATCAGTATTATGCCAGAGAGAGCAGCTTGGGAGCTACCTCATTTACCTTGACATCGCTTCGTTTTGACTCAGTCACGCGATATTTCTTCTTCTTAGTGACCGTTTTGATCTCCTCAACAATGGTTTTTTCGAGACCTTGACGCTCTCGTGAAATGTACTTTGTACTAAAAAACACATTTAGCAAAGCAAAAAACTGTGGATACCCAAACAATACGTATGAATATAATACGCACACAAATACAATAAAGGATCAAAGCTGCCTAATGAAAAATACCAAAGCGTAAATTTATCGCGAAGAGGCTAAGTTATAGGCAAGTCTTATCGCCCCATAAGGAAAAAAAACTTGTGCCTCCTGTTTCCGAGTTAGTCAACCACCAAATACAGGGCCTCTTTTCGCCTCAATTAAGCTTTCAGTGTAGATTTACCACAGCTTATCAGTATTCACACATACAGCGTGATGAGCTACCCAGTATGGCAGGGAGCTGAAAGCTTTAACACGTACTAGTTCTTCACTTGTTTTATTTTTTTAGGAGCCGCAATTCGCAATGAGAAACCTATCACTACGACACTCTTACAGAGGAGTAAACAAAACAAGTTTATAAGAAAAACGAAACTGCCTACAATAAAAAAATAACACCACAGACCTCATCTCTTTCTTCTCCACACGCAGATATTCACCAACATTCAACGAGCTATTCGAACTTGACCCACTCGAAGACGATTCGGAAGAATGCCTGAAACTCGGAACACTGCAGTAGACTTAGAACCCATACTGAAAAAGCTGTGAAATTGGAGATTATTGAACCCTCAGCGAAGAAAAAATCTAAACAGCGGAAACGCACCGCCTCTTTTTCTTTTTCTTCTTTTTACTTGGCCTACTTCGACCTTCTCTCTTTCCACGACTTGACTCCGGAGGAAGAAGGGGTGGTTGCGAGGTTGTCGCCATTTCATCTGTAGATATACACTGTTTAAGCCAAATTTCTCACAACTGGTGAGATGACTTCACCATCACTAGAACCACCCATCACCAATAAAGAAGCAGAGTAACCTACCACCACAAAAAGAAAGGTTAGGCATTGATGTGGCCACTGACAAATGTGGATAACTCGGTGGAAAGGACGCCGAACCAGCGAGAGGTAGAGCTGAGTAAGGTGGAGGCGGAGGGTAGGCCACACCAGCAAAGCTGGGGGCCAGCGGAGGCGCTGGCGAAGTGGTAGCACTGGTCCCAGGTCGTAGATGAGAAGTGAAGTCTGAAAAATATCACTGCATGACACAAACTAGGAAAAATGGTAGAATCTTAGCGCTTCATAAGGTGAAATATGTGCAACGTGGAAGAATGCCATTAGTATCGCCAAAGACGAACTTATCAGCAAAGAATGTTTGGAAAAACAGAAAAGCGTTATGCCTTTTTTGGTATGTAAGAAAGCAGAACATCAACGTGCCAAAATTTTCTTAAACTAACTGACAATGGGTAATTGAAAGGCACCTGGTGACGTACTCCACAGAATTGTAAGAAAAGGTTACACATTATATTTCACTAGTGCGCTAATTCCAGACAATCTATTCAGAGTCCAAAATTAAGCCGGCAATTTTTTTTTACATATTTTCGAGCCTGCAATCCTATGTATGATTTCAAGACACTCAAAACAATTTTGTTCTTGACCTTTACCCTGCAAAAAAGATCGACATTTCCGTAAAAAGTGGCATAACTAAGAAACTAATTACACAAATATCATTCTTTTTCAGATTACATTCGGTGAAGAAAGCATTACTTTGTTTAGCCATGAGGAATTGAAGATACCTGACACACCAAACAGCACATCACACTCTAGCAGGTACCACGTGCAACTAGTGCTGCCATTAAACTGTGAAATGGACTAAGTGCAGAACGAAAGGTTTTTTGAACCATGTTTGTACTATGCTTCCAACCGTTGATAGAGCAAATGAAGAGATGTATTAAAGCAGTGTCAAATAAGCAAAAGGAGCGATGAACAAGATCAATTCGCCTTTCCCAGAACAGTTCCTTTCCAGTCTGTTTGCTCATCCCTAGCAAAGCAAGTATATACATAAATCGAGACATGCTACCTTCTATTTAATTTCCCTCTTTGTTCCTCTTCTGTAGCCGGATAAGCTGCATCAATGGGTATGGTACAATTTGAAAAGAAACAAAATCGAAACCATCTGAGCATAAGCATTACAGGGGGAAGCCAAAATTATGCTAACCGCGGAAAAGCGCGGTCAAACCCACTTCTTTCAAAAATCTCTTCATTATTCAGTTTTCCGTGCCGTGTTTAGTGTGATAGGGTATATTATCTCCCTCGTGAAACTAATCTCACGAATTGAAAAAAGAATATTGTAACAATCACATCACGGCATGCCTGCCCACACATTGTATCGATATGTCTGAATTTTTTTTGCCTTCCTAAAAGGGCAAATGCATTCAAATATACACATCAATACAAAATCCTTGTCTATAAAAAGGGATCATCCGAAGCATGTGCTCAATCAAGTCCTCCACGAAAAGCTATCAAGATGTTGTGGAAACATATGAGACCGAAAAACAGACTTTCATAAAAACTAACAAAGAAAACTGTGCTTGGAAAAGGAGAAGTCTCGTTCACCGTCCCTACGGGAAAAAGCATAAAACGACAAACTGAGTAAAACCTTTTCTAGTGCCAGCACCATCGACACAATCCCATCGACTTTTCTTCCGTGGAGGATGACGCGTAGCGTTCGACTCAGCAGGACCGCTGCTACAGGAGCTGTTATTATTCATGTCCCGACTGCTCGACTTGCATGGTAAAGTGGAAGGAAGAACATCGTAGCGATAACGCTTTACAATGAAATCTCCTTCTCGTTGGTCTTCGGTATAAGTGGCATTTCGTTTTGGTGGCGTTCTGCTGCGACGAACACCACTTCCAGCGTTTTCTTGATTCCGTCTATGATACAAGGATCTAAACGGACGACGTGCGTCAAATTGCTCACTATGCCACTGTCTGTCGTGATCGAAGCGAGACTTTCGTTGGAATGCCGGACGATTCAAGCGCTCGTGTCCAAAACCAGCATATCCACGATTTGAGTGATCATATGTTGACTCTAGGGGTGTACGTGGGTTATTCGAATAATGCGATGTAGACTGAGGGTCAGTACAAAATGGGTCAGAGGTGTTTCCTGCAGGATAGTATGAGTACGGAGACCAAATGCCGTTGTTAAAATGAGGCATTCCATTGTAGTAGTCGTAAGGAAATGAGCTAGTCGAGCGAACATTGCGATCGTGCTTGTGCCAATCTTCCGTGTTAGTGAACAATCCTTCATTGTCTGCGCAATTTTGACCTGTAAGCCAAAAAACGTGCAAATGCACACCACAGACAAAACACATCATAGTAAAAGCTTAGCAAATAAGCCCCACAAGCGCCGACAAGATGGATTTTGGTTAAAAATTCACATCACGCACTAAAAGCTAGCCTTCTGATAACACACAGCAATGACGCCAACGATGCCACAAAATAAAAAAAAACCCGTGCGGATGTACCAGAATAACAGCAAAGTCTTTAGGGACAACAATTTTTTGAACAATGTAGCTTCCGATTTAAATCGAAGTGTTAGATTAAAAACTCTCTGTTTGAAAAAAAAAAGATTGAATCGTGTTGAATAAACAAACTTGACGCATAAGAAATTACGAGTGGGACTAATTTAGGGTGGTACTGACATATCAAAAGAAGATATTGGGTCTCTTGACGGCGCCTGTGAAGAAATGCAAAAACTGTGAGTGAACAAAAGGAAAGTGCATCATGCAGGATGGGCAGACAATCTACGATAGTTCCCCTTGAAATAACTGGAAAATAAAGAAGACTTACCGCTGTGAAATGGTGGAGCAGGAGACGGTGGAATATGAGGAACGAAAGCAGCTGGAGGTGGTCCAACAAACGGCGGAGCAATCGTCGGAGGAGGAGGAGGAGGTAGGGGAGGGTCGAGTTGAGGAGTACGAGGACGAGGAGTCGAGTAACCCTTCCTTCAAGAAAAATACATGAACGGGTATAAAATCTTGAACGTAGAGAATTCGTTGCGTTCTTTGTGTGTGTAGTGTGCCACGAAATTTTCAGAGAAATTTTTTTTCACCAGAAAACTCAAAAAACTCTATTTTGAGCCATGTTTAGGTCTTCAATAAAGACTTGGAGGTCGAAACGTTGGGCGGAATAGAATTTTCACCTACAAACCTCGTGGCAAAAGTATAAAAACACAGCAATAGATGATACCCTTACAGACTAGAATTATTCAACTCTCGCGAGAACAGAGCAATAATATCTGATACCGTGACGATAAAGCGTAATCGGCTGTAGGAGTTCGAGGAGTTCGGATCCCGATAGCTTTCTCGGTATGGTGTGGAGTATGATGAGCTGTTGAAACGGAAGGTGACTCCATCTCCATGTGTTCTTCCATAACACGTTCCACAACATGTGATTGAAGTGGTGTGTCATGGCTTCGCCGCATCACTAAAGGATATTTTTCAATAGAGGGTAGTGATGGGCTGTGTGATTACTAGGAGTGTGAAAGTACGCGATCCGTCGCACGATTTGCGCAAATCGCAAAAATAACCTGTTGGAACATTTAAACACTATAAGAAACAAGTAGGGTCGTGAACAGTCGTCACTCAGTCATCAATCGCGTGACGAATCGCGGACTCTGACACCAACCCAGCTCTTTCCTGGACTAGACAGTGCAACATTAACTTAAATTTCTTCTAGAGAAAGGTTGCTTTTAAATTTCTGGAATTATTTGTATCTAAAGCTCACTGCCATCTGATTTCAAAGCCAGTTGGCTCCGCCGAGTATTAAGAATCGTTTCCTCGAGAGATTTTAAATGAACCGGGATACGCATTTCTTCACCAGTAGCATCTTCATACCGTTGACTGAGCAAAGCGACTGAAAATATTACGAGGATATGCGAACATATGGCGACAGAGCTCTCATAGCCAAGAAATCGGCAACATGCTAGCATAGCTACCGTTGACTGCCGTTTCTCTCGACTCAGAATAACTTAGCGACATTACAATCCACGGTTCTACCCAATGATAACTCTACTTCGTCAATCGTTGCTCAAATGTAAGTAAAGTAGCGTAATTTTGCAAAATTAGGACCTTGTTTGAGAAGAAAACCAAAAGAATTATGGAAATAATCCGCTTGAGAAGAAAGATGGTTGTAGTGGTTGCAAAAATTATAGATCAAGATCTGAGCGAAAAAAAAAACAAAAAAAATGTGATTTAGAAAATGAGGGAGCGATTGAGGGACGCTTCTGTTATGTCACTAACGATGAATACAACTAAGCCAGAAGAGCCGGTTGTCACGGTGATAATGCTTGAACTAAAAAAGTTGCAGGAAAGAGCAGTGGTAAGGACAAGCGTTAGACGAAAATATGAATAGGAAAAAGGCAACACATGGAAAAAGGGTAATAAAATGAAAAGGCTCGATGGTGGATAAAAATCAAAAGAGGGATCAATAGTATCGAAAAATGATTGGACGGCTCCATAGTTTGATTAAATTTGGCATAAAAAATGAACGTAAAAATGGAGTGATTGAAGAGAAGTGGTCAGGGAAACAAAGTTAATGGTAAAGTTGGATACAGAAAAATGTGGAGAACCTCGAAAAATGAGTGAAAAAACATTTGAAGCAATGATGAATGCATAAAGTTATCCAGGGGCATACATCGAATTTCAAGCCAAGATGAGATGTAATAGCAACGAAAAAGAATTCATTAATTCTCGCTGCAGTTAACGTCAGAAACACGCTTTGCTTTTCTTGCTATGGATCTTCTTTTTATCGAAAATAGACTTATATCAGCCTTTCCTAATTTTAATAATACATAATAGCATAGTAGAACTTACAATAGGGATCATGACAGCAGATTACTTGTCCTCCCATGATGCTTTTGCCATTGTACTCGAGCACAAACTTGTGTGCCTCTAAAAAACTTATAGTTTTATAAATCTTTAACTATTTTTATCTTGAAGAATCTCAGTAACTAGCGAGTATGCTTCAGAAAGCTGGAGCCCGACCGCAGCCAATGTTGGCCAGTGACTTCGACTTAATAACTAAGAATTCTTCGTAAATGAGCTTGTCAGCGTCTGTATATAATGAGCGATTGAACCTAGCAAGAACTATCGCCGACAGTTTCGTTAATTACTTGATCATTGAAACAAACTGGAAAACCTGTTTTGTAAAGCCGCTCTCACATCCTACAACAAGCTTGAGAACGTATTTTCCTTCTCTACGACCACTGTCATGAATGGCTACTCCCATTTCAGTAGTAATAATCCTGAGCAATTTCTGCAACTCTTCCATCTTAAGAATGCTGGGCTATGAGCAAAACTCTTCGCCCCAGACAGGAAACCGACCCACACCTTTCACACCCTAATATCTACGATTCCACTGCGTTCATACTTTGCTTTCTTGCAAACCGCTTCGAAACGTCGAGAAGAAATAACAAGAAATGATTACACCTGCACCACACATCGCACACACGTGACTTCTAGTAGGGTCGCTTCTGTCCCATTTTTGACCTATCCAAATGGCCTGCTTTTGCAGGAGAAGCAGTACGCTTTGAAGGACGCACCCTTTCTCATTCACGACACGAAACCCACTCACCAGCAAACGATGTGAAAACAATCATAGCCATCCCCATGTGCTTCTTAGTGATAGGATGATAAAACACTTCCAAGTCAATGGGCGGCGCTACTTTCCTGAATACAGCAGAAACAATTCTTTTCTTTGTGAAAATGACTATAATTCTTGAGAGAATAATTCTTACGTTGCCAACTGCTGAAGAAACGCCTTATTGACATTGTCATTCAGCTTGAAAAGAGCTACTTCCAATTTAGGATAGAACAAAGTGTTCCGATCTATCTGAAAGCGATGCAATCGAACATATAATCACAAGGGGCAAGGTAACCACGTATCAGCCACTTCTAGTGTCGGAAAAAGCGGATTACCGTGAACGATGGCACAATTAGGTCCGCCTGCGGTATCGTTCTGTATGGAATATAATGATTTCTAGGATCCGAGAGGGGTAGTTTGACATCGTACTAAAAAGTCTGAGATAAAACTGAAAGGAAAAGTGTAATTCACAGTAAGACTCACTTTGGGATGCCCTGGTATGAAACCATTATATCTACGAATAGTTTCCTTTGCACCAAGTTCTTTATCATATAATGTTTTATAATTCCGTGGAGCATTTTGAGAACCTTAAAATTGATATTCACAACTACTATAAACGAGTATCCTTGTTTGAAACAAGTTATTACTTACAATGACCAAGAAATCGTTCTAAACGTGTAAAGCTTCCATCTTTTCAGTCTTTTGCACACTACATATGAATGTGTGTAGAGCGCAGGAGTTATTTTTCTCAGCGGCCCTAGCACTGCTAGGGAAAGAGTGGACGTATAGCGTTTTTATTTATTTATAGGTCAATCATAACAGTGAGAAATCATGGATAAGAACCCGAAGACGGCACGATTGATTGACTAAGATTCAATTTAGTGTTTCTGGATAAGGAAAAAAAGTATACTCGCAGAAAAATAAGTTTTGCAATCCTTTTGTGGGCGCTCACAGTCGATCGCCCGATCGTAACGATCGTAACGCACAGCATTCGCTGGTGCGATTGTCCGACACGTCCAACGGTCGATATACACCTAATGCTGGATGGACCGTTACGATCGGACGACCGACTATAAATGCGCCCACTCTGTGCAGCGTTGGTATTGACTATTAGTTGCACATCGAATCTTTTTTTTTTTTCAATAAAAAAGTTGAGACTTATATATCAGGAAAATAGAGCTGTAAAAAAGCAAAAATATGACTTCATCGGGGATGAACCAGAATTGTTTTCCCTCCTTTTGGCACTTCTAGAGGCGCTGAGAGGAAGAAATGAACCTCTTATGTTCTATGTTAGTATGAATAAACGAACAATATCACTAAACGCGACTTGACATCAAGAGGGCAAAAACTACTTCAACAACCAGATTTTCAGCGTTTTCATTCATCTCTTCAAGTGCACTGTAAAAAGATGTGCATCGTGAACCCTTAACAAAGTTGAGCTTCTTTGTGACTCCTTACCTTGTGTAGGATGCACTCGCGACTGACTAGAACGATCTGGCTTCCGATGTATAGGCGTCGCCTTGCGATCGCCTGCATCAGCCATCTACTATCGCATATGTCCACGAACAAGCACCACCACACCTGAAACCAAATCATCAGTTAAGAAATTGAGCGGATCACTCTATTTTACGCGACACCTGCTCACGTTACAACAAATCTATCGGCAACATCTACCGGATGATATGATAAGCATGTTTTTGCGCTTAGTCATAAATTATAAGGTTTCCAAGTCCCAGTATGTTAAGAGGATGGTGCCAATGTAAGAGCGTTGACCTGTTGATGTAGTTGCTCACATAGGGACTAGAATGTTTATGTCCACAGCTGGCTCGTCCACGTGAACATTTGTAGGTATCGAGGAAAATCTCCACGCGCGTTAAATCTTGAGTTAATCGCTGTTCGAGTGGCAAAGCATTTGGAATGGAACCGATAGCAGAAACCGCTTAAGGTGCTCCTCCTATTCTGCATCAAATGTTCTATGTGAGCGATCTCTATGCCATTGGGGCAGGGTGCGATCACATTATTAGACCACATAAGACTGGTACCACAGGACCTCTTATCGGCTTCATAATCACAACAGCCAGTGTTAAAGGGCATTTTGCAGACAGACAATAAACATGACATACTTTGCGATCTCGAGATTCTGCGGTTTTGGATCCTGCATTTTCGTTATGAGGATGCGGATCGATCTCGCATGCGACCGTGCTAGCAAAATCAAGTGGTATACGTATCTACTCTACACTCCAAACTTTGAGTATTGTTCGACCTTGAGATAGATAGACAAAGGGAGAAGCCGACGCACCGCTCAACTTACATGATTCATTGCTTCAAGGTGATAATTCTCCATGAGCCCATACCTCTGTATTTCTATAAGAAATCTTCAACCATCCCACATCAAGCGTCGCTTTTACGACGCCTTCTTACTAGCTCTATGACGTTACAGTGACATCCAAAAATGGATTACTGCTCGGGTCAACTGAGACTTGATGCAGTCCGGTCAGATCGGCTGGCAGCAGCGCATCAAAAGATTTGACAACGGCCATACTTCGCAACACCACTGTAACCTTCTACTAGAAAATCCGCAAACTCACGGATTAGAAAATCTCTAACAAAACTGGAAACTTCACAGGTTTTGCGATCTCAATGTCTGCAATTGGGCGACTGTGTTACACACACCTAGCTGTTGGGTAAGTATTCACTGACAATGAACGCTTCCTTGATTTTACTGTCGACAATGGTGCAGCTGTAAGGCAGCCGGAGCAGGAGAGAAGAGTGGGGTTCATCTCCAATACCACTGTTATGCGGTAAGGATCCTCCTACTTCAATACATCATTGTGTTTTTGGACCACGGCTGTCGGCCGGCGCAACTGCCCTCGCCACGAGTGTTGAACCTCTATAAGTGGAATAAGCACAGTGGACAGAAAGCCAATCATTGACGACCAGGTCCACAGCGGTTGCCGAGAAGCCCAAAACTGAATCAGTGCTGATAACAATTGGCTTTATTAAAACGGCAAGGATCCGCCTTCCCGAAAGTATTATATCACCTACAACAGAAACGACCATTCGTACCACTTGTTGAAGCCAATGATTTCGCATCATATTTGAAATTGAGTTTTTGTGCTAGATATCATAAACTTTAAGGATATGCGAAAGTCGCCTAGCAGCAGGGTCAACTAACCTTTGGTCAAAGCCCAACGAAAAGGAACGTACTCGGTCGCATACACAAGGGTTAAAGTCGGAGAGGATGGAGATCCTCATGGCTGTAGGTGCAGCGGGATATTACGATATAAGGGACTCGAATCGCATAAAAAGATGACATGGCGTCATCTCAGATCAGTCAGCTATGGCATAAACCGTCCATATTTGATCACTTCTGCCCCATCTAGCGGCTTTCCTCGACGAGCATAAGTGTAAACCGAACATCCAGCTCTCACGCACATCTCCATGAGCCCCCACTCCCTAGAAGCGCCACCCCTCGAGAACTGCCTACACTGCCCCCTGGCTCACGGTTTCGATTATGCCAGGCGAGAAAGAGTCCGCTCCGGCTAAAGCGGCTCCCCCAACCCACTACACCAGGACAATTTTAAAATCACTACATATCAATACCTACAACGTTGTTGCTCGGAAAGCTGTACCTTGCAAATTCCTGCCAAACGATCCTCTGCGCAAGCAATTTATAGATCGATTAGTTTTGAACTTGGTTTTCTAGAATTGTTTAGAGCTCCAATCTCGTAACTCTCCTATGCGAAGGTAAATGTAAAAATTGAATGGAAAAGTTAAAAGTTTTAAGATTCATCATCGAGACTCCGCTGAGAGAGAGTCATAATGCAGACAGTAACATAACTGAAGCCGTCCAAGAATAGGTGACTTTATTAGACTAACGTTTCGCTTCTTCGCCTTCGTCAGAGCCCGAAAAAGTCAAGAACAAATGCGACTGACCGCTCAAACGGTTCCGCACACCCTACAACAACGAAACGGCGGTAGTTAGCCCCAAACATGTTCAAGGCCAGAAATAGGCTTATACGACTACCTATAGCGACACCCCTGACTGCGCGTTTGCTCCAGGTGGCACTGTATGCATAGATCACCCCCTGACTTATTCAATCCACCATCTAGGGCAGGGGTGATCTATTCAATACGTTGCTTAGCCTGCGATAGCGAGTACATAGGGGAAACAGGTCGTCCTCTGCGAGTACGGGTCAAGGAGCACTTGGACGGGTTGCGAAGATCACAAATTCAGACGCCGCTCGAGTTTCACCGCATGCAATACCATGACAATGTTGATTTCGGGATCACAGTGCTCCATTCTGGCGCATGAACCCGAAATCGCGGCGCGAAAAACCCTGGAGGCGTTTTGGATTTCGGTAAGAGAGACCTCAAAATCAATAGAAAGGAGGAGTGTTTAGCCATTACCCGTGAACTCGCGCCCTTCTCCGACCTCTGCGGGTTTTGATCTACATGAGGTCAGGGCGAGGTTGAGGTCGAGAGGGTGGAGGTGGTGGTGTTCAGTAAGCACCAAGCTAAGTCCTTCGAGGGTGGTCGCCCTCGCGTCACGGCGGCGTTGATCAAGGTAGGCTGGTTGCATATTACCGTTAGGTGGTTTACTAGATATGGAAATTGTCTTCAGTATTGTGGAGGCGTTTGAGCGGTCAAGTCACATTTGTTTTTGACTTTTTCAGGCTCTGACGAAGGCGAAGAAGCCGAAACGTTAGCCTAATAAAGTTACCTAATCTTGGACGGCTACAGTCAAGTACTCATCTGATCCAACAATGCCAAGATTAAAAGAAAGTCGATCTTGGACGGATAATCATTTGGAATCGGACCACCATGACGACTGATCCTGTTTGGTAAAGAGCTAAGGCTACCCACTCCCTCCGGTACCACGTGACACCTATTACATCCTACCAGTTTTGTCGTCCCTTATGTTCCTTGGCAAGTTAATCATCCTCTACCACAGAATTAAACCATATGTTTCCCCACGACAAGATGCTTAAGATGGATTCCAAGCAAAAAGATGAATATATGCATCATTGTCGCAGCGGAAGGCGAACATATGGACAATGAGTAATTACAAAAAAGGCTCCTCAACTGGCACATATATGTAGATACTACAATATGACTGGGTAAAAGGACATTGAATGTGGCACGGCCAATGCCAATGGTTCGCAAAAAGCTAAATGTGATGGCGACACAATTACGGACTATTCAAATGAAATCTACAAATACAAAAAAAACTATGTCACACTGCGAAACCTAGTCTCAAAAACAATCAGGACCAGATCATTAAGAATTAAAATGCGGTATCAGTACAACAAAAAAAATATGACCAGGAATGGTACAGTCAACCGAGGAATCGGTCAGGATGCCGTTATAAATGAAATTAGGTACAAAAGAACGAAATTATTTGACGGCAGAAACTCTTGGATTACATTTCCGTTGCAATTACATACCTGCTGACTATGCCCATTTTATTACCGAAAAAAGTCAATGGTACAAGGCGTAAGTGAATATCGTCCTAAACCCCCGCTCTCGTTTATTCCTGTTTCGTCAAGTTTTGACTAGATGGTACTTGGGAAAGCAATTACTTA